AAGATACATAGACATATGGTGACATGTTAGGAATATTCTTATAGTTTTAGAATAAAAGATAAAGACATACAAAGTAGGAAAACTGTCAAATGCAAAGCTTATAGTAATCTATTCATTCTTAGTACATTAAAAAATAGTTTCCATTCTCCTGCGCATTTGACATTCCTTTATAAAAGATCAAAAAATGCTCAATAACTTTTTAAATATGAAAAGAAATAACATAAGGCAAACATTTTATTCTTTATTTGGTAGGTTTTATTCAGTGTCTGTGCTTCATTCTTATTTTAACCCATTTTTCTTTGACATTAATAAAATTAAACATCTTCCACTGCCTTGTTTACTAGTCATACTTCTTGAGTGAATTGTACTTTGGCTATTTATTGGGATAAAACTGCAAATTCTTTAAGTATAATAGAGATTATCTGTCTTTACAAATGTCTTCCTAGTCTGTTATGAGCCATTTCTCTATGACTTCATTAAATTCTATTACACATATGATTTTTTTTTGTTAAATGTGAGCTTTTCCTTTCCTTTTATGTGTATTGTTTCAGTCTTTTAAATAATCTTTCTTCTATGGGTGGATAGCTTTTGAAACATTTTCTATTAAAGTTTTCTATTATTTTTATTCTTCAATATAGCATTCATGTGTAGCTGTATTCAAGCAGAGTTTGGTGTTGGTTTGAATTCATTTTCTCAATTAATATTGCTCAAAACTACTGTGTAGTTCCTTTTTTCCTTCTTATTATTGAGTTCTTCCATATTATTAAATTTGTTCATATTAGACATAATATGTCAAGTAAGGTTAGCTACATTGTTCTCCTCTTTCAGAATATTCTTATATAGTAGTACACATTATGTTTTTCCAAATTAATTTCAGAAGCATTTGTTTCTTCCTTTTATGCTCCAATTCATGTTATCTCACATGAAATAACTTATACTCAGCTTATGGAATTTTATTCTTCAGTATTTCTGCTACTCTAGAGAATCTTTATTCCCAAAAGCACCATCATTTATTCTTATTTCTCCTTCTCTTTTATAGAGAGCAGATGTCACTGTGTCTCTGCGTCAGTGGCTTTTCTCCCCCAAAGTAAGGCTCATTAAAGTATGATACCCTCCCACAGCCCACCTGCCACACCACCTCAGACAGGAGCAGTTTCTGTATGGAAATGAAACAATGGTGTTCTCAGTGTTTAATATAAGTCAAGGGACCAATAACAGGTAGCATTTAAATTATGGTGTGTTAAGAAGAGGAAAGAGAAAAATGGGATGAAGCATAGGGATGGGCCAGATAATAAAGAATCTAGGATGCTTAGATCAAAACTCTAAGCACTTTGAACATAATTGATGAAAAAAATTCAGAATTTAAAAAATGCACATTATCAGAGTATAGGCAATACAGTTCTGCATCTGTGAAGTACACAGCCTCTGAGATACTCATTTATAGAGACACAAAACTGAAATAGCAAGATGACTCCAGCTGTCTCTCTCTCTCTCTTATCCATTCTTTCATTAATTCATCTAATAAATATTAATTACAGCAATTACTAAGACGTCCTTGTTTTTGGGTTTTTTTGTTAATACCTTAATACTTCATTTCAATTATTTAAATATATTGTTAAAATATTAATTTATGGACAAATGAACAGATGAGAATGTGTGACATGATTATGACATCAATCAATACTAGCATGCCCCAAAACCTTAAATGCATTATTAGCACTGACTCTTCAGTGACAAGAAAAGAGATCATTTCTATCCTTTGTGTGAATGACCTTTTCATGACCTTTGACTCTGAAAGGAATACAAAGACCTAGTCAATGTCAGTGTAATAATTTAACTAAAACTGTCTTTATGATATTTGAAAGAAAAATCTAACTTTCTTTTATGATATAATCCTTCCTATCTCCACTTTTGCCACAGAATTTTAATTCTTTGTGCTTTCTTACTAGCTGCTTTCCAGTTGGGCCTTCTGGAAGGAGAAATAAGTGACTTGCTGCGGGGCATACATCAAGTACGAACACCCCAACCGGGAGCTCGTGATGAAATCGCACACGTGGAGGAAGATGGGTACATTAAACAGAAGGAAATTGGTTCAGAGGATATCTGCTCTATTTGCCAAGAGGTGCTTTTAGAGAAAAAGCTTCCCGTCACCTTCTGCAGGTGATTTTTTGGAGGAAGGAGGATTCAAAACACTTAGGAAAAATGATCATTTAGCGTGCTTGTAACTATTGCATTATGAGACATGTTGATAAGAAAAAACAGAACACTTTACCTATAGCTGATTTATGCTTGTGTTTTTTGTTTTCTAAAATAGATGTTGATGAGAGGGCCTTTTCTTAGTCTAAGTATTCCTGAACTACATTTTAAGGGTGAAAATGAAAACATAACTACACGGGTTTTCTTTTCCCACTTTAAGAAATTAAAGTTAGGTAATTTTCATTTTTGTTTTATAAACAGGAGTATACACCATGGTTAGAGTCATTAAAAAGAGTCTTCTGGAAGCAAAGATTATTTTACTTAGAAACTATAAAAATTTCTTTTCACATTCTCAAAATTCTTTAGACTAATTCAAAATTTCATTTAAGCAAATTGTTCATTGAGAATCACATATTCACCCTAATACAACATTATAAAGTTGAAATTGGAAAAAATAGGCAACCATTTGTTATTGAAATTTTTTATTCTTTTTTTTCTGATTGTTCACCAGCATTTCTATTCACTTTGTAGTTTTTCATGTGGCTGCTTCTATAGTATATTGTAAAATGATTAACTTCTTACCCAAAATTTCTTTGTCCTAGCAGATATTCCATAGCTACTACCATGTATTGTAATGAAAAATAAAATGGTACCCCTGCTGTTAGTAAAGCATTTTGTTTAAAGAATAATTATTGCTAACATTTTCTATTTCATTAAGACTATATTTATTCTTACTTTACAAATGAAAAATATTTCAATGATATAAAAATCATTGGGATAGGATAAAATTTATGTTTGGAATTCTGATGTCCTAAATTAAAGATAACAAATTAAATTTGTCTGTGTGCCTGTAATAAACCTATATATATGGAAAGGTAGTTCAGAGTCTATTTTTATGGAGAATATAAATGGTAGCACTAAAAATTTTTATTTATATAAATATATAATATACACAATGTGTATACATGAAACTGCTGTATACAAATACTAAACTTGAATTTTGTTTCTGATAGGTTTGGCTGTGGCAATAATGTTCACATAAAATGCATGAAGGTCTTAGCTAATTATCAGGATATGGTATCAAACACATCCATGTTGAAATGTCCTCTGTGCAGGAAAGATTTTGCACCACTAAAACTTATTTTGGAGGAATTTAAAAACTCTAGCAAACTTGTGACTGCAGCTGAGAAAGAGCGACCAGACAAACATCTTGGAATTCCCTGTAACAGCTGTAAACAATTTCCAATTGAGGGGACGTGTTATAAGTAAGTGTCACCAGTAAAATTATAACTATGTATTCCTTTTTCTTGCCTTTTTTTAAAAATGAAACTTGGAGTGTTCCAGTTCATGTCCTTTATCTTGCCTTCTTCCACCCACATGTACTGTATTTGCCTGTGTGATCACTGCTTATTTAGGTTTATCGGACTGTTCATTAGCTCAGTCAAGTATATTATGAACTCCAACCTGTACTTCCTTTACTTTTGCAAAGCTATTGGCTTTGCTCTTTAACCTAGATTGAGTCAGTAGTCAGATGGGGTCATCCTAGGGGCCTTGGACCTGGAATATGTTGCTTGGTTTAGATCAGTTTCCAAGTGTGGAGCCTCACTGAATATGTCTCTCCAGGAACTTTCTTTGAATCATCAGTGAAGTCTTTGCCAAAAACTCCAAAGATTGAACCAGAGGGATATTGACCAGATTTATTGTTATTTAGTGTTCCCACCTATTTTAAATTACTATGAGTGCAGGTTTTGTATTCTTTCCTATCTTGTACCTAAATAAAAACAATATAAAAAAGATACTAGAGCAAACAATTTGTACTGTTTTTGTGAATAAACTTCAAGCTTTCTCACAATAGCCACAATAAGCATCAATTAATTGCTATGCCTTGGAAATTGTATTTTCTTAATTAAAATTTTCGGTTAATGAATCATTAAGAAGAAAATGTACTGTTTCAGCATTTGTTTAAAATTTTTCTGAGATGCATCAGTTTTATTGCTTTTCTTTCCTGAAATTATATTATCATAAGCCTAATGTAAATGTCATATACACAAATGTTCTCTCATAAAACCATAAAACTTTCTTAATACCCCAACATCAAACTGCATCGTTCTCCTTTGAATTTAGTCCTTTGTTTTCTGCGTCACACAGAAGAAAATCAGTAGTTAACAAACATCTTTACTGGAAAATGGTTGGCTTAAGATGTTTCCAAAGCTGCATTCTAAATTGAAGAAGGAGGGCAGGGTTTTTACAGATATTTAGCAGGTAGTGTTCAACTAGTTTGAGAAAGGTTGACTAAAGAGGTTTTTAGGAAAACGAATGACTTGATCTTTGCTAGTAGACGCCACCATTTGAACAATATTAACTGGATAGGAACTAGGCACTGAGGACACATGTGAACAAGGGAGAAACAGCTGCAGGGAATGCGGACATTGAAAGGCCATGATGTAAAATTTTCAGTCCTTAGTTGCATATTCTTCAACTGGTTAATGTGTGGCTTCAGTAAATAATCTTAGACCATCAAGTCTTGCATCCAAGTATTTCACTGATGACAGTATGTCCTGATCCAGGGGATGGTTGAACAGGTTTCCTGAGGGAAGGAGTGAGAGACAGGACAAATGACACAGTGTTACAACATGGAGATGACGCAGTGTTACAACTCTTCAGGGTCATCCGGAGATGACACAGTGTCACAGCGCTTCAGGGTCTTCCGGAGACTCTGGAGATGATGCGGTGTTACAACTCTTCAGGGTCGTCTGGTGATTGTGGGCCAGGAATCGTGGTTATAGACATGCTGGTGGGCAGTGATTGGTTGAATGAAGGATTGTAAACGGAGGTTTATGATTGGTTGTTTTTGTGGACCAATCATGAGGTGCCAGATATGCAAATCTGAGGGATTCTAAGCTCACCAATTTGCTATGGGAAGTGGCCAATCAGAGTATGGTTTTGAAGGTGAGGTTTTGAAGGGGAGCCAATCGTGGCCTTTGGCATTGTGTAATTATTTGATCTCTGAGAAACCAGTGATATTCACTGGTGCTCAGCTTCCCACAACAGTACACTGCTCTGTCACTCTGAGCTTTCTGACTGATCTTGGAGTACTAAAGATTATTCTTTCTATTACCCATAAAGAAGTGTACTCTCCACTGTCTGCCCCCTACCTACTGCTGGATACTCTTTTGAGAATATTTTCTCATAACTTCTCTCTGGACTTGATTATCAGCTATTTAGCCCTATCTCAATCCTCTTATAAATTAAAAAATGTAGTTCCATTATTTGTGATGCTGTCCTCCTTCCATTCCTTAAAGTACTGACATTCTTAAGACAAGGAATGGAGAATGGGTAGTGGAAGAAAATCATCAGTCATGCAGTTAGGACTACTTATCCAGTTACAGAAATAAAATGAGGGTTGTAATTGTGAAAGATAAAAATAAAATACTGACATTCAGTCATTGGCCTGAAAAACTGTTTTCATAGTTTGAAGAATAGATTGAGAGACCAATCTGTTGGCATGGTTGGTCTCTCACACATTTACATTTCAGGAGGTACTCTTGTATGGCTGAGGTTCAAAGCCCAGAAACAGTGGCCTGAAAATTACACCAGGCATATGTGTATGTGTGCCCAAAGTCCAAAGAGGAAAATGGAGAAGGAATTCCAGCATGAAAGTCCTCACTGGGGCAGGAGGAATTTCTCATTTTCCCTCTGTCTCTCTTTCTCTCTCCAGCAAGCACTTGTGCCCAATGACAAAACAAACAAAAAAATTGAAAAAAGAACAAAAATAGGCTGAGCAAGAGACAAGATAAACTAGAAACCTCTTCATTTCCTTCTTCACTGAAGTTCTACAATATAGCTACTTCATCTTTCAAGAGATTAATTCCAAAAATATCAAACATATGTTAAAATATAGAAATGCTTCACTCTACATAGCTTACTTGGATTTATCAAATACATTGCACCATTGCTCTGACCCACTAATGTTAATTACTAAGAAGCTTCCCTATATAAATAGTAATAATTAATAAATTAGTATTTGCTTCATTTAAGATGTCTAAAGTATGTATTTTCCAAATTTCTCACAGAAATAGTATTCTACATCTTTGATAACTTGAATAAGAGAATAAGTTTATTTGACCACTGCTCAGAATATTATCTGGCAAATTTTGCTGCAAATCAATTCAAATCCTCTGCTTTTTGTGATTTTTTTATAAATGACATAAACTTGAGATGGAGCTTTTGTAGAAAGTACAGGTTTATTTGGTTGGTTGGTTTTGATCTTTAGATAGTTTATTGTTTTTCTTTACATATATTTGCCTTTTTCCATCCTGCAAGGTCAGAAAGGGAATAAAAAATAATTCCTTCTTTCAAGAATTATGTTGCTAAGTGTAATCCTAGCATTCATAAAGCAATTGGAAAGCAACACTACATAATCAAATAACAAGAGTATTTAATAGGCTGAAACTCTAGCAGCTAAGGTCTAAGAAGGCATTATGGAAGGCGTAGATGGATATGTTAGGCAAAATAATGTGGTCTTCTAAATATGTGCACGTCCTATGTATGCCTAGACCCTGTATATCAGGTTATATATTATAAGGTAACTAAGGTTATAAAAGGAATTAAGGCTTCTTATTAAGTAACATTGAAAAAAAAAGTTATTCTGCATTGCCTGGTTAACTAAATTATCTGGGGTTCTTAAAACTGAAAAAGGGAGACAAGTCAGAGGGAAACGTAACTGTTCAAGTAAGACAGAGATATACTACATTGCTTGTCTTGAAGATGGAAGTTAGAGCCACATACTAGGCTAAGAAATATAAGAAATGCAGAAGATGAAAAGGTCATGGAAACAGACTCTCCTCCAGAAACTTCAAAAGTAATGCAGCCCTGCCAGTCTCTTGATTTTAGCCAATTGTGACTCATGTCAAAATTCTATTCCATAAAGTTTAAAATAATAGATTTATGTTGTGTAAACTGATATATTTGTGGTAATTTTTTACAACAGCAGGAAACTAGTAGACATTGTGGCTCAAGATGGGTCTTGCCATGCTTGGATAATTCCCTGGAAATTATGGTTAGAATTTTTTATAAAATTATCGCAGTAATTGAATGTTTTCTTCCATATTTTGCATTTTCAGGTGCACTGAATGTATAGAATTTCACTTATGCCAGGAATGTTTTGATAGCTGTTGTCATCTTTCTCACACATTTACATTTCGGGAGGTACAGTATCCATCTTGAATGTAATGTAGTGTTCGTATTTGTCCTACTGTAAAGTTAAGTCTAAGGAGAATAGATAACACTCTGGAAACACTCTGGAATAGAGTAGATTGATTTTTAATGAAAATGTAAAACCTAGAGACCAGCATATGGAGTAATCGCTGGATTCCCACATGACCAACCACTATTCAAGTCCCGGACCCAGCAGCTCGAAACTCATGCTGAGTGCATGTGCATGCATGCCCAAAATTCCAAAAGGAGAATGGAGGAAAAGGGATTGCAGCACAGCCATCCCCACTGAGGGATGATTTCTTGCTTTCTGTCTGTCTCTCCAGCTAATGCACACATCCTATAGCAAAAATCCCTCTCAAAAAACAAAACAAAATAAAACAAAGAATTCTTTGTGTGTGTTTTTTTTTAATTGCCTAAGGGCACTTGAGCTTGTCAGACAGAACAAACACTCCCCAATGGAGTATGATCACACTGCAGCCTCTTCTCCACTTTTCCATCCTGTCAGGAACTAGGGCACGTATGCACATGGCATGTTTCTCAGAAAGCCGCCAAGGCTAGGATTAGAACTGTGTTTTTCCATATTGGATCTGGCTGTTTTAAACTATAAGGCTATGGGTACAGTCTAAGAACTCTTTTGTATAGGAATGCCCAAGAAAACCAGTTGATACACTCGTAATTTATAAAATCCGGCACAATAAAAAACATCTTCTGCCATTATAAATAAATCTTAAGAACAAGAATTATAGCCATCAAACTTGAAAATTCATTATTTAAAAAACATAAATCATCTTAATATATATTAACACTGACAACCATATATGGCTTAAAATTCTTTTACATCAACAATGAAACATGGATTTTTAAGGAGATCATTTTCAACTATACACGTAATAGTACTCTTAATGCTGGTAATACTACCACCTTCTTATTATACAAAATAAAATATCTACAATTATCATTATTAATATTTTTACCTTATAAAGTACTGTCATAGTAGCTGAATGATAATGTATGAGACTTACTAAAAATGTGTAAAATTTTTAATGTGGCAAAAATAATAAGTATGTTTAAAAATGTTGAGTGTATCATTCATGTTGTTATTGCTGTGCAACCTACTAATTTTAATCCACAAAATAAAAATTTTCATGATTTGCAAAATAATACCCACTTTTTACCTGTTACAGAAGAGAAACCAGAGATGGAAATTACTAGGGAAAAAAACAGATGCAGTTGTAAAATATGCAGATATTACAAAGAAGATAGAAGAAAAGATGCCACATTTTCAAGAAAAGCAAGGGTGAGGTTCTAAGTAAAATTTACATTTCTTATATGACTTGGAGACTCTGAATGATTTTTAAGTTGAATAAATTTTATTTATTCCTTTATGTAAAAAATAATTTATTGAACATTTACTATATATCTGGTAATATTACCACGTGGAAAGGAAAGCAAGATTCTAAAGTTATCCTGTCTGAATCCAATCCTAGCTGCACCTCACATTATCTGTACTGGGTTAGTTCACTTCTGTCACATGTTCCTCATAGTTAAAATGGGGATAATTGTAAGACCAAATTCACATGATTTTTTTTAGTATCAAATGAGGTAAAACACATGGTAGATATTCAAAAGTTACCTAAGGTCGTCGAAAAAGCCGTGACGTTATTTTTTTCTGTTTTTCTATGCAAAAGTGAATTATGACTTTTCAGACAACTCAATATTATGAGTTCTACCAGAGATTGTACTAGGTATCAGACATATAGTAGTGTCTTCATTAACCAAATAATCATCTAAATAAATATAAAATTAAAACTGACAAGTAATATAAAGAAAAGATATAGGAGGATTTGAGAGTTGCCATTGAAATAATTAGCTTTTAGGGAAAGGAATTCTTTTCTGCTTTATCCTTTCCTCTCTTTACCCCCTATTTCATCTCAATGGAGGAAGAAGAATGAACAGTTAGTCATATTTCAGGACTTTGATTCGGCTGTTTACTAGTGGACAGGTCTTGAGTAGTCACACTCCATATCACTTAAGAATATTAAACATGCTGTGCATTAGTAAAAGTTTAAGGGGGCCAGTACAAGGTATGGTGGTTACGGCGCTAGACTCTCACATGGCTGACTGTGGTTCAAATCCCAGTTCTAGGGCTTGAAACTCACACCAGCCTCATGGGCTTGCTTGCCCAAGACCCTAGGATGAGAATGGAGGAGAAGGGATTGTGGCATGGTCATAAGTTCAGGGGTGGGGGTCGGGGGTGTGATTTCTCACTTGCCCTCTCACTGACTCTCTGTCTCTCTGGCAAATACATGCACCTATGGCAAAATTCTTAAAGAGAAGAAAGATTATGTACATTATAAAATATATTCAAAAAAGACAATTTTTGCAAGATAGGGACCAGCAGTTAGCGTAATGGCTATGTCGCTGGACTCCCATGTAGTCGACTGCGGTTCGAGTCCCGGACCCTGTGGCTTAAAACTCACGCCGGGTGCGTGTGCGTACGTGCCCAAGATCCCGAGAGGAGAATGGAGGAGAAGGGATTGCGGCGTGACCATCCCCCCGGGGGGTGATTTCTCGCTTTCTGTCTCTATGTCTCTCTCTGTCTGGCTGGCAAGCGCACGCGCCCTATAGCGAAAAACCTCTCAAAAAAAAAAAAGATAGGATAAAATTGAAATATTCTTTAAAAATAATTTTAATGAATCAAACAAATGAAAATGATCTTATTCTCAATAGATATAGGGTCATCAGAAGTCATAACATTTTTCATATATCATGACTTTTCTGATGATGCTACACACACACACACACACACACACATACACTGCATCCCCCCACACACACCCCACACACAAACACACATATATAGAAATCACATAAATGTATTTTTCTATCCAAACCCTATGAAGATTTAGCTCAGCCCTGTGGCTACTCCACACCCTTTGGAAACCAGAGCTCTTTGGGGGCATAAAATGAACTTACACAAAAGTTCTCCTATTTCATTTCCCCTCACCAGGTATCATACTTCATTCTACTATTATGATAAATTATAGACTAAAGGCTAAACTTAAGAAATATTTGGAAGTAGGGAGTTGAGATGGAGAACATTAGGAAAAGGAGAGCATCCTAGCTAGAAAAATTAGAATGAATAAAAGAAGGAAAGGGAGACAGAAAGTGGCATGGTAGTTAAGGCACTGGATTGACTGCTGTTTGAGTCTCAGAAGCTTGAAAATCATGCCAGGTGTGTGTGTGTGTGTGTGTGTGTGTGTGTGTGTGCACCCAAAAGGAGAATGAACAAGAAGAAACTGTGCATGGGCATTCCCCCGCCAAGGGTGATTGCTCAATTTCTCTCTCTCTCTCTGACTACATGTGTGTGGGTGGGGGGGAGACTAAAAGAATTTTTAAAATAAAAACAGGAAAGAGTCTTGAGCTCAAAACAGTGAATAACAACCTAGGAGAACACTAAAAATACACTTCTCTTTTAGCCACCCCACTCAGGGTCCTGCCTTTTTTATTATCTAGACACACACATCAGAGCCTGTTGATATCTAGCTGTGGGGAGAGCAGCAGGCAGTAGACATTTTTAAATCGAAAATAAGAGATCTCGGTAAAAGCAATTTCTGAAGCAAGATGAGGGTAATATGCTACAGACTAATGAGAAACGTGAACTTTTCTGAAGACAAATATATTTAAACTTTGTTCTGAATGACTGAATTTTTGGAACGCAAATGACCTTTTAACCAAGCTTCTAATTTTAAATATTTGCTTTGTCTGTTTTGCCAGTCCCTAATGGTATCAAATAAGCAGTGGATTCTCTTTATATCTCATTTCTTTAGGTCAGAACTTTTGGCACAAAAATGCAATGCATTTCCTTTTGTTCTAGAAAACTTGGATTTGTTTGATTTGCATGTGCTAATGATTAGTTCCAGATCTGTAATAATATATGAGCATTTATAGCTCTGTTCTTATTCTCTTTCAGCCAGGTTTACACACCAAAATATGTTGTAAAGTCACTACCTCTCCTACTGATTACAAAACATAGTAAGCTGCTTGCTCCAGGCTACCAGTGTCGACTTTGTTTAAAGGCATTTTGTCTTGGTCAACATACAAGGTTGCTACCATGTACTCACAAGGTAAAAAGCCACAGGATTTTAGCTTGACGTTTCCTATAGAGTCAGTTTTCACATATAAAGTGACAATTTAAATGTCTCCTCTCACTTTTTAGTTGCAGTATGGGTGAAAGTGTTCAAATTGCCCAACATATGTAGAAGAGATACTGCATAAACTTTTAGAAAGTAGTTTTGCTTATGAGAATGTATCCCCATTGATTAGGGCTTATTTTTGTATCCACTGTCCAGGAAAGATTAAATGGTACTGGAAGTTAGATTCTTTTCTCTACTTTAATTATGTATGAGAAGAAAATGCTTATAAAATACTAACAATTTGCTATTTATTTTTATGATTATTTAGATGAAATATAAATGCCTATATTGACATAGTTAATTATTATTTTGTAAGAACCTATTAAAGTCTAATACTACTTGACCACTATATAGTGCATAGCCAAGTTTTTCCTGAAATAAAGGTATTTCAATAATTTTCTAACTTTAGTGACACCCTTAAAATGACTGTTTATTTTATTTCTGAAAATATGATTTATTTTATAACTTACTATCACAAGATCCATTTTAAACTCTAAGTGTTATGACTTTATTTTTAATAATTTTCATTAATTATAAATAGACAACAGCAAGATTAATAGCTTGAGTAAGTAATAAGTTTTTAACAAAATTGCAAGTGATACCCATACAACATATTTTCCATGTTGAAAATGGAAATCTGTCCAACAAAAAATCAATTATATTTTTGTTAATTTCTTCAAACTATTTTCTTAAAACTTGATAAGTTATCATTGCCTTTCATTTTTGCTAAATAGTTTTACTATTCATAGTTATGAAATGGAAATTTTACATAAATAATATGGATTATAAAAAAATCATTATAGTTCTGATTCACTTATAACCTTTTCTTTTTAAGTTTCATAGAAAATGTATTGACAGTTGGTTATTCCACAAATGCAATTCATGCCCTATTGATGGACAAGCTATATATAATCCTTTAATCTGGAAAGATACAGCAATGAATGGACAAGGGCATCAGTCTGTTTCAAACATAGACATCACTCATCCATCAAAGCAGGAAGAACCAGAACTTTTTATTCCTGGTACTGGATTAGTCTTAAAACAAAATAAACTTGGAACTTTACCTAGCTTACCTCAACATATTTCTGAAAAATCTAAAACACCTCCAAGTCCAACAGATATCTATCAGAATATAACAGTAGATGACCTTTGCTCTGTAAAGTTGGATAATTCAAGTGCAAGAAAATTAATCTATGAATATAAAATCAGCCAACATTTCCCCAAGTATCTTCAGGATTTACCCACAAGATCATTTGAGAAAATGTCATCTCAAACCTTTTTTCCTTCTATTGCTCATAAAAATATTACATGTCTCACTGGAACGGAAAATTCATGTATCAGTGAAAAATACCGCACCAGTCAAAGCCAGAAGATGACCAAAAGCTGTAAATGCATTAACCACAATCCAAAGAAGACGCTTGGTACTGAAATAAGAGAAGACAACAGGATCTCAAATACTTTACATCCAGAGGATATAAATCTCATTGTCAATTGGCATACAACTAAACTTAGTTTGTCCAAAAGATATAATAATTGTATGGGGAAAATTAGAAAAAAAGGTAGTCATCTATCAAAACAACCTATACCTCATTCCTTACATACAAAAAGTACTGAACTATCTTTAATAATGGAAGGAGTTCAATTGTGAAAAATATTTTTGATTACCAGAAATTATTTGAATATTGAATATAAAATGGTTTTTGTAGAATATAAAAAAATGCATACACACCTATGATAAATGCATATGAAATTCTCTGTGTCTGTCTACATCTATGAATAAATCACTATACCTAAAATAATTTAAGAAAGTATTCATTACTTATAAGACTTATGGCACTAGGTGCCTCAGTATGTATGTTTAGGATGTTATGAACAGTCTTTAGAGCTTTTATATTTTACTTGACACTGATTTTAAAAATGTTTAATTTAAAGAAATATATTTCCCTCCTTAGAGTCACTGTTTCATATATTCCACTCGATAACATATGACAAAGAGGGACTACTTCCAGTTACTTGTATATTTTTTGCATTTTTCTTAACACCAATCCTCCAAACCTGTAAAAGAATCCAGGTGCTTTAAAAACAACAACAACAACAACAAAAACAAAACATTAGACTCTCAAAGGAGTTTTCTTCTACATGAAATGAAAATAAAATATAATGCTATATGTTTTTCCACATTTATGATGGTTTTACCATCTTTTGAGAAACTATATTTTATAAGTACTACCAAATTCGTTGATATAATCACTACTAAAAATCAGTTTTCTTAAAACCCTCTATATTTTCAAAATAACCATTATTTCAAAATGTTCATTTGAAAAACATAACTTGGATTATAATTTTTTTAAATTCTACGGCTCAGTACCTTCTTAAATATTTTTAAAAACACTGATGATATTATTAACTATTATTATCAGAAACAAAGAGAAACCTCACATGATTTTCGTTGTTGTTATGGTGGTTAATGGAATATATAGTTCTGTGAAACAAATCTTGGCGATAACAAGAAAATCTTGGAGAAAATAGTATTTGAATTTAAAGAAATGATTAACTGGGAACCAGCAGTTAGTGTAATGGCTATGTTGCTGAACTCCCATGTAGTCAACCGCGGTTCGCGTCCCGGACCTGGTGGCTTAAAACTCACGCCGGGCGCGTGTGCGTGTGTGCCCAAGATCCCGAGAGGAGAATGGAGGAGAAGGGTTTGTGGCGTGACCATCCCCCCTGGGGGGTGATTTCTCGCTTTCTGTCTCTATGTCTCTCTCTGTCTGGTGAGCACATGCGCCCTATAGCAAAAACCTCTCCAAAAAAAAAAGAAGAAATGATTAACTGGGCAAGCAGGTGGTGTGGTGGTGTGGTGGTATAGTGGTTAAGGTGCTAGAATCCTACATGGCTGACAGCAGTTTGGGTCCCAGACCTGGTGGCTAGATTTCTCACTTGCCCTCTCTCTCTGTCTCTCTTGCATTAATTTAATAATAATAATAATAATAACAAATACAATTAAATAATTCTTTTTAAAAGTAAGGAAATGATTTATTAAATTGAAGTTAATCGCAGACAGAAATTACAAAAATAGAATTCAGAAATGGTAACTGAAAGTTTATTAGAACATGAACTGCATTTTTTAAATGAATGAATGTTTGGCTTGCTTCTGATACACAAAAGGATGGCCAAATATATATGTCATCCATCCAGGATTTTATCGGCCTATATTTTTTGAAAGATAGGCTTAACCAAACAATTTTCCAATTAATACTTCTTGTGTTTTATCCCTTTTTAAAAGAATTATTGAAAAAAGTTTAAAATCCTTTAGAAAATAAAACCTGAGAATGCTATCAAGTAGCAATAAGAGATTGAGATGCTAGCCAAGAAGACCAATGATATACAGCGTTTAGTTATGCTAAAGATATAATATGGATACTATTAATGTACTAGTCTAATTTGTTAATAATCTCTCTGCAATTATTATTTTAGTCTTGTTATTGCAGCAATACAAGGAGTCTCCAGAAAGTCCATGAAAAATGTATATTATGAAAACAAATCATGCATGGCTTTCAATTTTTTGCACAAAAATAAACTTGTATTATAATTCCATTTTCCTTTTTTTTTTTTTTTTGAGAGAGAGAGATTTTTGCTATAGGGCATGTGCTATCACTAGACAGACAGAGACAGAAAGTGAGAATTCATTTGTCAAGGGAATGGCCACACTGCAATCCCTTCTTCTTCATTCTCCTCTCAGGATTTTGGGCACACACACACACACACACACACGCATGCACACACTCAGTGTGAGTTTCAAGTCACTGGGTTTGAGACTCGAACCACAGTTGACCACTGTGGGAGTCCAGTGCCTCAACCACCAGACTACCCGCTGGCCTCTACAATTCCATTTATCTATGAACACTTTGAAGTCTCCTCATCGACTATATACAAAATATCCATGCATCAAAAAAGGGAGTAGAAATTAACTATTACAATAGCAATTCCTTATGATTATATGAGCAAGATTTGCCAAAGTTGGGGTTATGAATTATGTGCCTTAAAAGGGAAAGTTAAACCATTTAAGGTGCTTTTTATTTTAAATTAGACAAAATGAATTTCACAAAGGGTATCTATTTTCTATGAATAAAAGTCATGTTGCTGAGGAAGAAGAAAGGCCAGAGATTGGCATACTATGGATATGTGGGCAGTGGTGAATGACCTGACAGGCTGATCAGGCCCTAGGGAAAAAAAAGATTAAGGTCGAGCAGGCCTCAGTTATGGGCTTATAGATGTCCATATAACAAGGGTACTGCCAAAAGCTCTGCCCGTTATCAGGATTTTCTCTCACCACTGTCTTTTAAAGCCATCTTTCTTAACAGAGGACAGTTGCCATTTATTTTCAGTTTGCACTCAATACTCAGCTGACTCATTCAGAATCCAAGCCCAGGTTTCTCACTGCCATCTGATCAAAGGTGTAAGCTTCCGTGTAAGCACTGATCCAACTTTGGTAGATAACATGGGGCAGTTGGCTCTCTGCTCAAGCAGTGACTTCTGATATTGCTCATGCTCAAGAGTAGATAGAACAGTTCCATATTATGATAGGCTGCTGTGGGCTCAACCAACTTTACCATCTAACAGATCTAACAGACTCCAATTAATAATGTGCATTCGTAGATACATGATCAGTCGATTGTTATCCCATGGTCAAGTCTCCATATTTACCAGGGCACGTCATGAGTTGTTTTTCAAAAGACAGATTTCATGGCTTTGCTACAAAACCTATAGGACTTGCATGTGATTCTCTAACTTGGGGTTGTCAGAAGCACTACAGGTCATCATTACCCACTATCGACATCTCTAATACCATAGCATCTGCCAGGTTGTACGACTCAAGCAGTTTAGCTACGTATACCAAATCTAGACCTAAAGTAGAGCTCTTTACTGTTCTGTGTCTCACCAAAGCTGGCAACCAATGACATCATCCAGCATACAGCCCACAGTAGTCCTCCCAGGGATGAAATAGTGGAATATGCCACCTCCATAACTCAAAAGATAACTTCTTTGAGCTTTCTTCTTTCTAGAGAGAAGTACAAGATAAGATCTTTTGTCTTTCATTTTGGAGTGGCTTTTGTGGCATGCCCTGCCTATAGAAGCCCTGAAATTTTTAATAATGTGAAGGTCCCTGATTCTTTGTCCCATTTTCTGGAGCATGTGTCTTACCAAGGAGTATATTAACGTCTTGCTTGTCTGGCCTAATTAACACAACGGCATCGATGTAGTGGATCAGTGCAATGTTCTGCTGGTTGTCCAAGTGGTCCAGAAAGCAGGTGAGTTAATGCAGTTCTAGAGGAAAATTGTAAATGTGTCTAATTGCCTTTCCCATGTAAATGAGATCTTCCTAATCTCTCACTGGAATATAATGGCTGCATTTACCATATTAATCACTGTATGTTGTACCTGAGGAACATTGATCTCCCTCGCAAAAACACCACGTTTGGCACAGCTGCTGCAATTGGGATTACGTCTTGATTGAGTTTACAGGCACTTGCTCTCCTCTTTAAGGATCATTCCAGCTTTTGAAAGGGCTCTACTGGTGAGTTAAATAAAGACTTGGTAAGAACCAATACCCCTGCATCTTCTAGATTCTTAAAGGTTGGCACTTATTTTCATCATCCACCTAAACAGAATTCAGCATGGAGGCTCTGTGTTAAGCACTAATACCTGTGGAAAGAAGTCTCCTCATCCTCTATAATTTTGACATTTTGTTCATCATCTCACCTCACCCTAGTCTTTTCTCTGCAAAAGAAAATAAGATTGGCAAAGGCAAAAGTAGAACTATAAAGCTTCGGTCATAGTTCTACCACAAATAACTATGGAATTCAGGCAGTCTCAGGAAGGGTGTGCACTTGGGCAAGGTGTGCTTGGCAGCTGAGACAGACTTTGAAGAAGCTGACAGCTGCAGAGTGTCTGCAGATAGCATTCCCAACAGCTGAAGCAGCAAGGCCCCTTCTTTCAAAGCTAATCTGAACAATCCATTATCTGGAAAAAAAAAAAATAGACTAAAGAAACATTTAGGAAGACCAGCAGATGGCGTAATGGTTACATCACTGGACTCTTGCATAGTCGACCACTGTTTGAGTCCCATATCTGGAGGCTTCAAACTCACACTGAGTGCTTGTGTTTCTGAGTCCAGGATCCCAAGAGGAGAATGGAGAAGAAGGGATTGCAGCATGGCCATCCCCGCCAAGGGGATTATCTCTCTCTCTCTCTCTCTCTCTCTCTCTTTCTCTCTCATCCTCTCTCTCTCTCTCTCTCTTCCTCTCTCTCTCTTTCTCACTCTCTTTCTCTCTTTCTCCTCTCTCTTTCTCTCTCTCTCTCTCTCTCTCTCTCTCTCTCATGTGTGTACACACTATAGCAAAAAATTATCTAAAAAAAGAAATAAAAAATAAACATTTGGGAGGTTATCGTGGAAGAAATGGAGGAAAATGGGTCAAAACAATTCTCTTTGTGGTAGATATTACTGTGCTCACCAATATCTGGTTCAATCCTGGGATTTGAGAAACCACATTTCCCAGCCCTGTTGGACTTAGGCAGGGAACTGTAACTAGCTCTGACTGATGAAATGTGGAGAAAGAATGTTACTTCCAAACAGAGACAAAAGCTTCT